GAAAACCACGAAATTAGCGATTAGAAAATGTGAGATCGCAAATCACTCGCACAAGTGCCGTACAATCTGGAAATCATTTTTCTTACAGATCGCTAATTTGTAATTTTTGAAGCCTGAATTCGGCCCTAAAACATAAAGATACTGATTCAAAACGCTTTTAATCGATTTGGGCCAAAGAAATCCTTCATGTTATATATCTAGTTCCATTGCATTCTCCTACTGCATTCGATTGCATAGCAGTCATTCCACACTGTTTAGTGTTGAATGACAGCTACTTTTATAACTGAACCATTTTTCTCTGAAGAGCAGTCGACAGCTGGACCACTGTGATTGCAGCTCACTTAGAGTCAATGTTAAAATGTTTCGTGATACATGAACTGCAGTAACATGGCATTTTAGATACTACGATTTTTATGCAGGGCTGGGCCCCACCTGACGTGTGTCGCACAGTTACTTAGGCAACATTTCACGAATGAACGTCTTATAGGCCAACACTTCCCTCTTCCCACCAGTCCTCAACCTCTGTGACTTTTAGCTATGGGGTTTTCTCAAAAGCACTGTTTATGGTGATAATCTAAACAATTTGGCAGAAATGAAAAATGTGATCCACTGACATGTCCGTAACATTCCTCCTGATATGCTAAGAGCTGCTGTTGAGAATGACAGGATTTAACTTGCTTTCGGAAAATGCTGGACGCTACATTGAACATGCTCTGTAACACGTTTCGGAAAATATTAAACATATTTTAAACAGATGTTTTCGTGTCCTATTTCATTTATCAATCTTGTATACAGCGCCATTTTCCCCCTGGTGGTGAGTTTTTAAACTCTTTTTTTTATTTTCCGCGGAAAATAAATTCCCGTAACCTCCTTTACACGATTCCCAAGTTTGATATCATTTGGTACGGTAATTTTCCATTTATGGCCATTTCAGATTGGAACTATAACCACCATGTAAATTAAACTTTAAAAATTTGACAGTTTGGTTCAAGTCCCAGCTTTAAAAATATATATATAAATATAATCTTTTATATTAATTCTCTTAGAAAGAATGTTTTAAGAAGCTAATTTTTTTCTCTCTCGCGTTATATATTGTATAAAAAACATGATCTTTAATATGATTTAGATTGTTTCAGCCGATATAAGAATCGGGTCACTCGGTGGTACAGAATAAACCCTGCTGGACTGTTTTATTTCTTTGTTGTCATTTAGCAACAAAAATCTTTTAATTAAAATATTTATCCTTTGGACTTCGCTTTAAACTTTATTTATAGTTAAAATGACCTAGAAAATGAAAAGCTGTCTTCAGCTGAAACGCAATTCATGTAATTGATATTTTTAAAAAATTGACAAGAATGCAAAATTTATGGAAGTCTAGCAATCGAAAAATCTTTTAATTTTCTTGTGTGTGAGCACTGAAAATAACTGTAGAAGGAAAGAAGAAAATTAGGGAGAAAAGTAAGCAAAAATTTGCAGGGAAATTTGGCTGTCAGACATACCAAGATGTTTCGTTCAAAAGTTGGACATGCTTTTGAATATACTTTCAGGATATTTCAAAGAATTTAGGTGTTCAAAGAAAAAACACTTGGACGTGTACACCAGCAAATACCATCAATTGAGCTTGTGGTTAACAGAAAAGACAAAAACGATATCATTGCAGATTAAAGTGAAGAGCGACTGGTTTTAGACTATATGGTTGTATAAATTTAAATTACGTTATAGAACATCATATCGTATCATAAATTGAGAATCCCAAGATTTTCTCATTCGAATTATTTGAATATTTAGGAGTTTATCCAGTGATGTATGTGGATGTCACCTAAAGACTTTTTTTTTTTTTTTTTTTTTTTTTTTTTTTTTTTCCCTCTTGATGAAACAGCGGCCGAGCGGTAAAGTTGCTGAACGCTGGTAGTTCTGTCCGAGGTCCGAATCCCGCGAACGGGCTGGCTGCATGGGCATTTTCGTGGTTTTCCCCATGTGTAACGTGTATGCGAGCCAGTTTCCTTTAGAAAGTCCTCCACGAAGGCCTTCCTCCCCTTAGGCAGATAGCCCTAGTGTGCTTTGTCATAATTAAATAAACCAAAACCTCTTTATGAAACCAGTCTTTCCTTTCATCTCATACCTTCAAAATGTTTAGCCTCTAAAGACTGATAAAGGCTCTGACCAAATATTGATGAAATGGATTGAATTGGATTTTTAAGTTACGTCAAAGCAGGGCTATCTGCCTAAAAGGAAGGATGCCTTTGTGAAGAACTTTCTAAGGGAAACCAGCTGGCATACACGGTACACATGAGAAAATACAGGAAACGCCCCATGCAACCAGCCCGTTTTACCGGGATTCGAACCCCGGAGTGAACTACCAGTGTTCAGCGACTTTACCGCTCGGCGCCTCGGCCGTTTGTGGGCCTTTATGAAATGGAAGGCGATAACTTTATTTTAAAATGATTGTCAAAAATATCAAGATATTTCGAAAATTTGGTTGCTTTTTTAATATAGTTTTGCGGAATGCCTAAAGAAAAAGAGCAAGAATAAAGTAGAATGCCTGAAGAAAAGAGAGAAGAAAAAATAAATTTTTGCGTAAAATTTAGTATTTGTATTTTTCTTTTTAAATTTAAAACTTTTTAATCTTATGATATTTGATTCTTACGATTTCAAAATAAAATATTTGACTAAAATATGAATAATATTTAAGAAGCCAAATGTAGGATAAAATTGTGTAAAGCAATGGGCACAATGATAAAACTGTTTAAAAGCAGTGTATGCAATTCATCCTAAGTTAAAATGTCGGTTATACATCTCTCTTATTTATATATATCTTTTTCTGAACGGAACATTGAAAGGCGTGTTAATTGTGCTTTACTATATTTTCTCTTTTAATATATGCAGTTTTCAAACGCATCGTAGTCCGAGTTACAAAGTATTCCTCCGAAAGAAACGCAATTCAAATAAATAAAATCAAATTCTGGAAAATTTAAAATAATAAATATATTAAAAATGCTCAATTCGAAGGAATAAATAGAAAATTTTAAAACAATTATCTGAAGAGACAATGCAACCACAAACAATTAAAATAAAAGTATAAAAATTTAAAAATTACCTAAAATAATAACTATGACAAAAAATAATATTAAAGAAAACTATTTGAAAAATAACGCTGAATTTTTATTTACGCAGTTCGAATAGGTAAATAGAAAATTTTAAAACAGTTATTCGAAAAAAAACCATGCAACTTAACAATTAAATGGAATTCGAAAAAGGAAAAAATTACTTAAAATAATAAGTTATAATTAAAAATATAATATAAAGAATATTATTTGGAAAAAAGGAACGATGGTGACTTTTTTTCCTCTCACGGGAAAGGAAACTAGGTTGACATACATTAAGAAGTTCGCCAAGTGAACTATTCTTGGCGCAAACTGACAAAAAAGTGCCAACATAAATTTGTGAATTTCTCCATAAATTTCGCTCCAAAATTTACAAAATTTCATACTTAGGCGTAATTTGAGTCGTAGAATCCAAATATGTAAAAACATTGGTATGTTATTTCAGAAAAAGTCCGATTTTATGTCAAAATACCTATGTTAGAATAGTGCTATATATAAATCTAATATATATCCTAAGTCGCGCTTTCGAGACATGAAGAACGCAATTTGAATTTTGTCAATCGGCCCAGTAGATCAGGAGATATAGGACTGTCCTTTTTTTTTTTTTTTTTTTTTTTTTTTTTTTTTTTTTTTTTTTTGAGCAGTGTACATGCGGGGACCTTAGGGAATGAGGAAGCTGAAAAATATGCTAAAGAAGCAGCAAGTAATTATAACTCTATTCCAACTAAATCCCAAATTAAAAAAAAATCATTATGTGAGATCATGATTAAAAGATGGGAATACTGGTGGCAAAACGCACAACAAGACAGAAGAGCCTTTAGATTTATCTCAAGCATCAAAGAAAAGAACAATAGCTTTAACCCTTACATAAATTGGTATATTACTGGACATGGCCCCTTTCTTACATATTTCTATGAAAGAAACATCTCTGAATGTGACACATGTGTATGTGGAGATAGGGGCGATCCAGGGCACTACATTTTTGATTGTCCCTTAACTAAGCAACTACATCTTAAAAAACCTACTCAGTATTTGGATCCGTTTTTAAGGTATGCAATAGCATATAAACATCTTCGAATAAAAATACAAAAAATAATCGAGTTCTTAGCAGTTAAGGGACAAGATTTAAGTGCTCCCATGTAACACAATCACTCCAAATTCCTCCACCAACTAGTTATACTATAACTAGCGAAACGTACGATAGCGCAAACGGTCCACGGAACTTTGCATGTGATAATTAAATACTTGTTTATTATAAAATAAATTAAAAATTCAAATTAATATAACTGCACTACAGCATGTGTATTCATAACAATGATATGTTAAATAAAATTAATTTGGTAGAATTTTTACAATATGGACTTTGGTAAACTATGAGATTGCAAAAAATGAATACAAATACAAACTCTATGTAATTATATGCTATATGTAAAGGGAATTCCTTGCAAGAAATGTAAGCATCGCTGACTGAAACAATTGTAAAACTACAACCCACAAAATACTGAATCAAACAAACATGTGAACAACCATATTCCACGTGATTTAATAATACGCAACAAATTTGTAACTACCATGTAAAATCAGTTGTATCACCATGTTGAAGTAATATTCATGTACCACCATGCATAATATAACTTTTCACAGATTTAAATGTATATAAGAAGCCCTCAGGAGATCCGGACGAGCGCCTAATGCACTGCTGGCAGTGGTAGGGCACGCGGTATAGCGTGAGGCGGGCATCCTCTGTTCCAAGCTAAGCTATTCGGGAATGTTAGTAGGAAGAGACGGATCACCCTGTTGGTAAATATATGTGTCCCCCTACTTTTACCTATTATATAGACACGGAGATGCTCCTGTTCCTTTATTATTACAGTTTCTTTTCTTTATTCAATTTAGAAACAAGTTGACGTACTCACTACTACCACCACCACACAACCACCTTCAACTACAACTACGACAGCGAAGCCTACGACTACATCTGTGACGACAGAGCCTACAACTACGACTACAACAACAGAGCCTACAACTACGACTACAACAACAAAGCCTACAACTACGACTACAACAACAGAGCCTACAACTACGACTACAACAATAGAACTTACAACTACGACGACAAAGCCAACAACTACTACTACAACAAAGCCTACAACTACGACTACAACGACAAAGCCCACTACTACGACAACAGAATCAACAACTACAACTACGACAACAGAGCCCACAACTACGACTACGACAACAGAGCCTACAACTACGACTACGACAACAGAGCCCACAACTACGACTACGACAACTGAGCCTATAACTACTACTACGACAACACAGCCTACAACTACGACTACGACAACAAAGCCCACAACTACGAGTACGACAACAGAGCCCACAACTACGATAACTGAAGGTAGATTTGATATTATCAATAAATAAAGTGGCTAAAATAAAATATTTAATGCCAATATATTCATTACTAATTCTTAAGATGCATGGCATATGCAGAAACCAAACGTGTGTACGATGCGAATGTTTGAACTTGCTGTTTAGCTAGACCTACTTTAATCATTTAGTAGCACCTTTGCTAAATGTTCCGTATTTGCATAGGTGTAACATTATCTAGACAGATTTTATAAATAATTATTAGCCAATGAATGTGATGGTCAAATACTGCTAGTTCATTTCAGGTTCTTGGCTAGTTCTTGGCGACTCAAAAGACTGAAACCATAGAGTTTCTATTGTTTTCTACAAATCCAATGAAAGTTCAACACAATTTTCCTCTAGAAACTCCTTACGAAGACATCGCTCCTAAAACAGGCAACTCGTAATTTTTTCGATGTAATAAGTAACCTTATCTGTATTATCACTAAGCAAATGAATTACGTTTAGTAGATCAGAACATTTTGAAAAAGCGACATTCACTTTTCTTCAATTTATAAATGCAATCTCATGATTTCAGGGCAATGATTCCTTAAGCTGAGACATCGAACAAGAATGGCTTAATTAATACTATTAGCATTATTCATGTCAGTACGAAGGGAAAGAAATAATAGAACGTGTTTCGAAAGCTGTTTTGCTAGAAATTGCAAAAAGATACTAGGGTTCTCAAATTCACATCTGAATATGGAGTGTTGGAATGAACTAACAAGGTAAGTTATTGGAGTTTCTAACGACAATTTCCCCAAAAGTTTCAGGGTTGACCGATCTTCTAAAAAAACGGTAGGTTCAAAACGTAGCGTTTTGCGATCGCACCTAGAGGAGGACATATAAAGAGGCGCGCGTGCCACCAATATTTACGACTATGACCGGCAAACGTAAATTATTGGTGGGTTGCACAATAGTTGTATAATAACTGCTGGAAAGTAGCATGTGTATCGTTCGACAGTAAGTGGTGCAACACAGAGCGCTAGCATATTCGATTCTTAACAAGTTGTGTTATCGAGAAGTAAGTGTATTTTAGGGTTACGCAGATAGCTTATAATCCTCATATTGCGCTACAAATACTTTTAATGATAGCATGAACCAGGGTTCTAATTTACATTAATAAGCATTTTATAAAAACGTTGTTCACTTCGTCAAAGTGAAAAAAAAATCATTAGTAGAAATTGCTCGAAAATACAGCACGAAACAAAGTGGGGCGAATTTTTAAGGTCCCCTAGACAGGTCTTACAATGGGATACAAAGTGTCACGAGTTTGCTCTCATATGTATATCAAATTCCAGAAGGAGCATAACATGGGACTCGTAATCAGCAGCTATCCTAATTTTAAATCTAGCACATGTTTTCTTCGCTATCTTAAACACCTCTTCTGTTCTGGATATAACTTTATTGTATGTGATGAATGGTAATCAAACCTATGATTTTTAGTACTGCCATTACCTGATTGTATTGGTATTGCACGCTTCAGTTTTGTAGGGTGTCCTATTTCTTTCATCACATCACCATAGTTGGAAGGACGTATTTATATGAAATATGAGACTTTATGATGCGATTTTGCTCTTTAAAGATATATTAACGGTAGAATGCCTCAGACTTCACAGATGCATTACACTTGTAATTTATTGCTGTAAACATCGGCAAACGCGTCATTTTATAATATCCTATCCGAAACAAGCGACAGCGAGATGCTACGCTTTGCACCTGTTTTGTTCACATGTTTGATCATCCCTGAAAGCACTGGGAAGTTCACTAACGTTCCTTGTGTAAGTTTCTCAACGTATTAAAGCCACTGTAAGTGTTTTATTATTTTCCTAACAGTTATCCTTTTTTAAATTTGGCTTTTCATTAATTTCCTTATTCATTTCCTTATCGTGTGGCTTAGCAGCTGAAGAGATAACCTGGTGAGTAAATTACAATTAAACTGGATTTTTCATTCTGGCAAAGGGAGTTTACAGATGATGTCTTTTCCTTCCACTTTCTAAGGTAAATATTAGGAAGGAGATCCTTGAACCCCTTCTCTATGATACATACTTTCAATTAAAATTGGAAACACACTGAGCAAACTCTTAACTCCTTAGTCAGAGCAATAAAAAAAAAACTCGCTTGTCGGAAATTTTGAGCCAACTTGATATTCATTATGTAGTATAGAAATATAACCAAATAAGGCAGCCATTCTTCTATAATCATATTTCCTTAATGCAATGCGTTTAATAACTGATTTGTATCCATTGATATACAATTGGTTAACATAGCTCGTTAATACACTTCTGTACGCCGATTCCTATTAACAATATTCAGTCGCGGACACTTAGCCGACAACCACTTAGCCGACAGGACACTTAACCGACAAGACATTTAGCCGACAGGGACACTTAGCCGACATGGACATTTAGCCGACAGGACATTTAGCCGACAGGGACACTTAGCCGACAGAACATTTAGCCGACAAGGACACTTAGCCGACAGGAGATTTAGCCGACAGGACATTTAACCGACACGGACACTTAGCCGACACGGACACTTAGCCGACAGGACATTTAGCCGACACGGACACTTAACCGACAGGTCATTTAGCCGACACGGACATTTAGCCGACAAGACACTTAGCCGAAAAGGCACTTAGCCGACAGGACATTTAGCCGAAACGGACAGTTAGCCGACAGGACATTTAGTCGACACGGACAGTTAGCCGACAAGACATTTAACTACGGGACACTTAACTATCAACACATTTATTCGACAGGATACAAAGCTGACAGTAACGTTTAGCTGGCACGTACCCAATAATTGTTCAAATTTACTATCAATTACAAATTTCTCGACTTCTTCGTAAGTTCAATATTTAAGTTATTTTTTCACTATCAGTAAAATTCATTTTTCGATTCTTAAAGATCTCATATATGTTTTTAATTATTGTGTTAATTTAGCATTGTTTGATATATATCCATGGACCTTATAAGAAATAGACCAACTCAAATGGGTTTTCTCCCTTGCCTTAGGGTATTGCCGGCTATCACCTTGACCACATCCGGAGGAGTAGGGACGACTTGCAGAAACTTAACAATAGTTGGCTATTGCAGCGCGTATAATTTTCAAGAAAAAGCTGGTGATAGCACCACATTTCACAAATTAGAATTTTTAGATATTTTTATTTTTGAAACTGAGATTGATTTTTAAAAATTTAGCATGTTTATCAAGCGTAATTAATGTTCTAAGTAATTATAAAGCTGTTACATGCTTTCAGGTCTGGATATTTTTTAGCTTTTCCCGTGCTGTAAGGAAATTTGTATCTCCTTCTTTTAAAAAATAATATTTTAAATCTGAACTAATAGAAAAATTCAAACAAACAATTGTCTCTTGCAATTTTTATGCTTTTTATTGGCGTAAATAAGTAAAAAATACTAAAATCGAAAAAAATGGATTTTTGAAAGTTTTTGCTTAAAATTCTTATTTGTACTGCTTTTTTTAAAAGTATATCTGAATATTATAGCATAATATTCTACAAAGAAGTTTTATTTCAATAATATTTCATAATACATCACGGTAATTAACACTTTTAACACTTTAATAATTTTTATGCATTTATTCTAATGTTAAAAATTGTATTTAACTGTAATAATTAATTGTACTAGTATTTTATAGTGATTATTTTGTTTAATTTATGTCTAGTTCTGCATAAGCTTTCTTATTTATTGCTAATTTATTTATTAACTCAAAGGGGCGGCAGCTCAGAAAAGCTATTAGTTTCGAAACGGCATTTTTCTTTGTTTCACTATAAATGACCGTTTCAATTTGCAAACTGTTGCCACCAAATATTATCCCCCTGTATTAAATTGAAAGAAATTAAATAATGAAGAATCTGCATGAATGCATGTATGTTTCTCTCGCACTGTGAAAACAACAATAGAATTTAGAATCATAAAGTTTTGAATAACGTAATCCTCCACTCGAACATGGGCACCTGGACGGCCTAATTTCGAATTTGTTTTAATCCATTTGATATTTTGTAACTTTAACGAAGTTTTGATTAAGAAACTCAACGAGTTCAAAGCAAGCAATGCAACCCTGTACAGAAAATAACAATCTCCCGTGCGGAAATTCTAAAGATATGTCATTTTCAAATATTTTGTGATATTGTTCTTGAATTAAATTTTATGCGGTTTACTTGCGAAGAACATCATGTTTAATAAATATAGGTAACACGCAAAACGTTACAAAAAAGCTCCTTTGGGCGTAATATAAAATTATATTGCTGAGTGCTTCCAGAGTTTATCATTTTTCCCCCTCATTACGCTCAAGAAAGTTTATGCTCCGAATTTTATGAATTACTAAAATAAATAATCATCTTGCAATGTTAATAATTAATGATCATATAATCAAATAAATGATAGTCTTCTTAAGTTATAATAATTTTAAAAACTACTGCCTGAAAATGCTCATAAAATCAAAGATAATTATCAGATCTTGTTTTAATTTTACGTTATTTGTTTCAAAGCATCATATGCTATCAGTATTATTCAATTTTACTTTATTTGTACACAAAAATATATTCATCAGTTTTGCGTTTCGAAAATTTTTACCGTTTTACTAAAGTAAAGAAATTTATTACAAGAATTACGCTTGAAAAAAAATTGCGCAAAATGCAGTAAAAAGTGCTTTTATGAGCTATGTTAAATCTTGTTTTCAAAAACTGGGACTTTCATAATCTCATCACTTATACAACGTATCACATTTAATAATTAAAAACAGTCATGTGATACAAACGCCAGCGGTTTCCGTATTAAAGTAAGCCAGATCGTCTCTACTCTTTCTTACGGGCCCACCTGCGGCCGAGCGGTAACGTCGCTGAACACTGGTAGTTCGGTCCGAGGCTCGAATCCCGCGAACGGGCTGGCTGCATGGGTGTTCTCGTGGTTTGCCCCATGTGTAACGTGTATAGGAGCCAGTTTCCCTTAAAAAGTCCTCCACGAAGGCATCCCTTTATAAAGCGCTGAAATTTCTCGTCAGGGAATATGAATGAAATTTCGAAAGGAAAAAAGAATTTTTTTAGTTAAGTACGGCGGTCACTTAATTACATTTTAACGTGAGATCTTCAAAAATTATCCATAAAGCTTCTTCATTTAATCAACTGGGTTCTTTTGAACACTTTCACTTCATTAATAATTTTTCTTGTTTACTTAATGATATTAGTTTTCCAATCTCGCTCTTCCAAATGCTTTCAAATTTTTAATACCTTTACGTTTCATTACTCTTTTACACATCACATCATGTTACATTTTTTCCTTTACAAAATCGTTTGGCTCTTCCCACTAAGGAAATTTCCTTTCCTTGTCATGAGAAATCTGAATAATGCAATAAAAATTAATGTTATTCTTGAATTATACTTTTTATGGAAACATATGGTGGTGAGGGTTAGTTTAGCAAATATATTTTATTTTGTTATTAAAAACAATTAAAAAAAGTGAATTTTTAAGACAAGCAAAGGTATAAATTATTTGTGACCTCTATAATTTGCAGTTCATGCCACCATTCTTGAGATAAAAATTCTGTAACATTTTATTGACCACGCCTCTCGCTTAAAATACTTACTTAGATTAATGTTTATGGTCCTAAACTAGTGCATAATGTTTAATTAAGAAGTAAAATATTCTTTAAGGTTTTGTTTTATTCATTTTCGAGAAATTTCAACGCTTTTTCAATTTGGCCAATGTACAGCAAACAGCACGATACATATCAAACAATGCTAAATTAACACAATAATTAATAGTACATATGAGATCTTTAAGAATCGAGAAATGAATTTTACTGATAAGTGAAAAAAATGACTTAAATATTGAAGTCCCGTAGCTAAATGTCTTGACGGCTAACAGTCTCTTTTATTCAATCGGGCATATCGACGTTTATGAACAGTATGAGACTGTTCATTTCAAAGTAATACGGATTCATACGAACTTTCCTTTGGATTCTATGCAGCAAATATAAACTGATTTAAATTATGCATTGGATATATTTTATAAAAGCAATGGAAGTTCTGCTGCTTTTTATTTCTCCCAAATAAATTTTACAGGATTAAATTCTTTGAAATTGCATGCTTTTTTAGTCCAAATGGGCTTTGTCCCTGAAGGACTATTGTTTTCGTTTTGCGATTTTGTGTTAAATCACTATAAATGTCCGATTCACTTTTCAAACTGTTGCCACCAAATGTTAGAGTCCTGCATTATATTTGAAGAAATTAAATAATGAAAAATTTGCATAAATGTATGTATATTTCTCGCATTGTGATAGAACAACGGTACATATAGAGCCATCGAATTTTGAATGACGTAATCCTACTGCGAATATGGGCAGGTGGAAGCCCAAATTTGAAATTTGGAATTTGTTTTATTATCGATTTCATATTTTGTAAAACTTAAACCTTTCAGTTTTTTTTTTTTTTCTTTTTTTTTTTTTTTTTTTTTTTTTTACTAGTTCTTGTTTCTTAATACTATTTTTGTTTTATTTCAGCTTCAGGTGAAGAGATCACAGTAATAATCAAATGTGTAACTGATGGCTTGGTTCTTCAAGGACTTATCATGTAAGTTTTATTTCATAATGTAAGGTTGTAGCCTCTAGTCATCTTTGCTAACATGCACTGGAACCAGATCTACTTAAACGTTTAAGTTGAGACTTCACGCAAGGACTCGAGTACAACAGGAAAATAGTGTAAAAGACTCTTTTGTTGAACACAATAGTTTACAAGATGGTACAGACTTAAATGCTCATACAGTCACCAATTACTTATGGTGAGGAACTTAAAAGATAATGTAGCAATTCAATTCAAAGGCAAAGAGTAACGCAAGACTATGGAGTAACGCAAGACTAAGAGTAACGCAAAAGAATTTGATCTAATGTAACTGGTTGTCTCAGAAAACTACACTGGCGGTATGATAATTTTGGCGGCAACAATGCGAAGCCGATATTCAGTTAACAATGGTAGAACCAACAACGTGCGCTCACAATAGCGAAACCACGCTCTAACTAAACTTTTCGCTACTTCAGTTTAAATACTGTGTTAAATACTGTTTACCCTAACTGATTTATATGCTGGCGAGGAAATAAGAAAAGACGGAAAAGGCTAGTAAAATGAAATAACTATTAGTAAAAATAACAATAGAAGCCTACAATATATCACACATACGTAATTACATGGTATATAAACCCCCGATTCATGATACTGAAGTCCTTTCTATGTAACTAGTTTACGAGATGCATTTTTATAATGTTCATGAAGTCTGTTAACATGTAAGTTCTTTGTTTTACATTTAATAATTTATCATCAGTTGCTTTCACTGTATTCTAGGATTCTTCCATATCTAAAGCAGAAACTTATCCAATCTGAGGTAGATCATTAAAAAGTGATCTCCTGTAGTGAGGGATGCCATCATGCAGGACTTTCTAAGCGAACTGGCTGGTATACGTGTTACGCATGGGGAAAACCGCGAAAATATTCATGCAGTCGGCCCATTCGCCTGGATTTGAACCCCAGATCGAAATATCAGTATTCAGCGACTTTACCACTCAACCGCTGATAAACCTTTTTGGTTGATGTCGCTTCAAATTCTAGTTTAAAAACATCTTCAGAAAATATTCAAAGAAATACCTTGTCCAACTGCGCCTATTATTTAAAAGAAATGTATACCGCGCAGAAAAAAAGAAAAAAATAATTTAAAAAAAATGGGACATTTCTATACTTCTCGTTCTACTCGGCCGATTGACGAAATTCAACTTGCGTTTTTCAGGTCTCGATAGCCCGACTTAGGATATGTATTAGATTTATATATAGCATTGTTCTAATATAGGTATTTTGACACAAAATCAAACTTTTTCTAAAACGACATGTCAATTTTTTTCCATGTTTAGATTCTAGGACTCAAATTACGCCAAACTACCAAGTTTTCTAAAAATCGCCCGAGTAGTTTTAGCTCCTCAATATTAATTTAGTATATATTTATTAATCTTTCTTTTTTTATTAAACTTATTTCATTTTTCCTTTCACATTGCGAAATTCAGGTTTATTCCAAATAAAATTCACCCATTTTTTATGATTTATTTTTAAAATCTGCATTTTTATGAATTTTCCTAAAACATTTTGATTTATAACCTATAAATATTTTACCGTCATCTTAAAGTAGACTTAATTCTAAGCTTACCTGCAAACAACTACAGTTTTTTATTCAAAATTTCCAAGATATACGTGCATTTATATATTGACGCGTTTTGAAATTTGGCATAGTTGTTGAAAGCGATCAAACATGAAATGTGGTTTAGGCACTTTACTAAAATTATTTGAAAGTAAGAACGATGTGACTTTTTTCCCGCTCATATACAATGTAAAAAGATAGGAAAGAAGTGCCACTTTTTCCCGCTCCGGCATAATGGAAAGGAAAGGAAAATTGGTTGCCATATATTAAGAAGAGCGCCAAGTGAATTATTCTTGGCGCAAATTAAAAACATTGCGCCAAGATAAATTTTTCAATTTCTCCGTAAATTTCGTAACAAATTTTACAAAATTTAATATCTAGGCATAATTTGAGTCGTAGAATCGAAATATGGAAAAAGATTGGTGTGTTATTTCAGAAAAAGTCCGATTTTGTGTCAAAATACCTACATTAGAGTAACGCTGTATATAAATCTAATATATATGCTAAGTGGCGCTTTCGAGACGTGAAAAAAGCAATTTGAATTTTGTCAATCGGCCCATTAGAACAGGAGATATAGGTCTCCCCCCCCTTCTTTTTTTTTTTTTTTTTCTTTGTTTGTATTATTCCATTTTGAGGACAGAAAATAATTGCAGCGAAAACGTATGCGCAAAAGCGCCAAATCTAGCAAACGCGCCCGTTTAACAGCGCGCCAAATCTAGCGTACGCACTGATTTCAAATTGCGTAAGTTTAGATAGTTCTATATTTCTTAAGACGCCATTGAAATACTAGTTTAATTTTTAAATCCTTTTTTAATATCCTGTGGAATTAACAATTTGGGAATTGCTCATGACGAAAAGTCTGCAATAGAATTTTTTCAAAGAAAAGGCATCATTCATTATAGAAAATTTTGTTTTAACAACCAACGAGATGAAATTATGCTTTAGCGATAACTCGGTAGCGAAATAGCGATGCAGGAATCCATTTTGTTTAGCCTTTTTTTATATAAATTATAATAATGATCTGAAATAATTGTTTACTCTTATGCTTCTATTCAGTTATGTTTAGCCTTTTTTTATTATAAATTATAATAATAAAAAAGTTTTCAATTAAATTAAACAATAATCCTTAGTTATTTACTATTATACTTTCATCTTGCGTTAGGGTTGCCGCAATTATTTTTGGCAGCAGTGGCATCAACAATAGTTTGGCGTTTTTTACGGTCCTCAAAACGGAATAGTATTCTTTTTTTTTTTTTTTTTTTTTTCCCGCAATGTACCCCATATGCTTTATGTTTTTCAAGAACTTGCTCTTTTCCAGGACTCAAACGGCGTTTTTTCAAGACGCAGAAACGAAAGATGTTTGCTTCTCGTTAGGTGCAGTCAAAGCGTTTGCTAACTCCGAGAGAACAACTTTTGAATTCGATGGAGCTGAGAAAGCAGTTTGTACAGGTTTTAACAATCCAGGGATCGAAGGTGAGTAAGCTCATTTGTTTATTCATTTATTATCTCTTTGGTACATCGCATTCTTTCTGTCAGGTAAAAATGTATTTTATAGCATATAACTTAATTGATAGAGGAAATAAAAAACATGGAACTAATCTTTAATTAATTCGTCTGAATTTTTTATGGTATTTGACTGAAATACAGTTATGCACATATTGTACTTTATTCAATTATTGCCTAAATGCCTTTTATTTCTACCTTAAATACAAAGTTTAATTTTGTACTTTCTTACTTTATAAATTGAAAGAAGACTTCTTTTGCTCGGATAAATTTAGTTCTGGTTTTTTAACGATAACTAATAAAAAGTGACAAAATTAGCCTATTCGTGCCTGAATTTGAAGCAAAATATTTCACCGCACATGTAACAGGTAGATGAAAAAAAAACTGAGTTTCAGTCAAAGAATTTTGCTACAGTGTCTCACAAAAGTGATGGGACACTTGAGCTTTACAAAAGGAAACTGTAGTAAAATAAATTAAGAAAACATGTAAAAACTTTTTGTGGGAGTGTTTCATACTTAAATTTAGTAAAAATTATTACATAAACATACAGTTTCTCAAAATATTAAAATATTAATTTAATAAAAATATAATTGTTTAGAACAAATTCGAAATTCAAAATTCGGGCTTCCAGGTGAACATATTCGAGTGGAGGATTACGTTATTGAGAATTTGATGATTCTAGGTTTCGTTGTTTTTTTCACAATGCCAAAAAAACATTCATGCAGATTCTTCATTATTTAGTTTCTTTAAATATAAAACAGGGCAAAAATATTTGGTGGCAACATTTTGAGAAGTGATTCAGACTTTTAGAGTGATTCAACGCAAAATGCCGATTCGAAACTAATAGCCCTTCTGGGCTAACGCTCCTTTGGGCTAAGAAAAAGGTAAAGAAAAAAAAGTAAAAAATTATGTCGAAAGGAAAAAAAAGGATGTCACATATTTGTACCAAAACGGCTATAATATGGTAGTTAGATATACTCTTAAAGATTAAATAATGTCATATATCCCGATTATGTATTACTACTGAAATTTATTACAAAATGTATTATTTTCCATGATACGACATAAATCAAAATTTATTTAGAGGAAAGTTTCGGTTTTGGCAGTTCCTTATCCATCACGTTACTAAATTCATAGTTGTCATTCAGGCCGCGAAGAAAAAGGCTCATCTAAAATTCTCTTCTCAGTTCAAAGTTTTGCTTACCTTAGCCTTAAAATAAAAATTCCAGATTTAAGAAACCTAGTGGTATTGATGGGCAGATACTACATTTAGGAACTACCAGAAATAATATATGAAATAAATAATATATACCTGACTTACGACAATGCTCATAGGCTGGTTGTAAACAAAAATACAGTTAAATATACGAGAGAGATATAATATACGTATTACAATATTAGCATCCGTTACTTAAATAATCACTTGATACATAGATGTAAACATTTATATATACTCGTCATACTTCTAACCGTATAATTAATCGTAACAGACCCTTGGACCTCCTACTGGGAGGATCTTCCTCATAACTGGGCTCGAAACTTAACTTAGTTAACAACGATAAAATAACGATTATGAATAATGAATTGTATAAACGACAAAATATTTTACTTAAGAGCAGGTGATATACAGATTTTATTTAAGAAGATGACAAAATATATAGAGAAGAGAAAAATACTAATCCGTAACTGAACAGAACATATTTTTCTTTGCTATCGTTAAATAAAGAAAACAAAATGCAACTTGATCATCTTAGTGAAACCTGTACTGACGTAAAGTGCTGGAATAAAGAAATTGTTAAGGTAATTAGCAAACAACTTCAAGCCAAAATATCAAACCTGAAACGCAAATCTGTCCAAAGAACAGTCATTAATATCGAATTATCGTCAGTTACTGACAAGAATATAAAATTCACTTTCATGCGCCCGGGGCTCATTCAGGAAGATAAAAGTAATTATTAAAAACGTACAAGACAATATCTCTTAATGAACGCCAAAATTTTGGCTAGATTCTTCAGTCGTTAACAACAAAATCGTACAAGCGAGAAAATTGGCCTTTCCAGACTACATAATACACTCTCTCAGAGTGTAGTAAACATGTAGACTATAACAACTATAAATTAATCATTCTTAAAAATTTGGTAAATCAGACTTTATTAACAATGAAGTATTGACGGTTGCTGTAATAGATGCATATGTCTACCAAAGGATAAAAATAAATTCTATGTGTTTATTTGACATTGGCAAGGCGCTATTTTTATTTCAAGTGTATTTACGCTGAGCATTAATATAGTAATAAGGAAAATTGAAAAAATTACCTCACATTTTTCTTCGCTTACGTATTACCACAACTATCATAGCTGCTGTTGTCCCACATGGGCCGGAAACTTACAACTTAATGCAGTCAGCGGGAATGTGCAATTTTAGAAATTCAAAACTCCTCACGGAAATGCCAAGAATGAACCAGAGGAGGAAAAGTGAATTACACCTGCGAGAGAAAGGAACTTTCGTCTTAGTTCTGATACAAAACATCTTGCGAGATGGATTCAAAAGTCTGTTACCTCTTTTCCCTTACCACAAACTCTCGAAAGGACTTTTGGATGGACAGTTATAAGGTATTTCTCCCGCCTTCTTGGCATGTCTTCCCGGTGTGGTGGTCTGCAAGCTGAGCGCGTATTCCAAACGTCCGTGGTTCGATTCCTGGTGAAGGTTTTGTTCATTTTTCACTTCTCCTGCTTCCAAAATACCTAATGTGTCTACACAGTATTTTAAGTACCCTCATACCACAAGGCCACTACACGCTTATTAACATCCATGCCTACACCAGAAGTCTAACCCGTGATAAGGCTATGTCAGCTGTCTCGTCTACTACCACGTGAAACCAGCTAAACAGAAGTCACCAAATTTTCAGCATGCATAAATTTCTGGCAATGATACATATAACAATTCTTCTGTTTTAAAAGGCAACGTCGCCATTTTTGTGGGCATTTATTTTGCTATATTATAAAGTATTTTCTTCCTCCTTTCTGCAAGCCTTCGTGGTGTAATTGTAGCACACTCCTCGCGTATTCGAGAGGTTCGAGTCCCGGTGAGGGTATTGCTCATTTCTCATGTCTTCTGCTTCAAAATAACCTAATAACTGTACAGTAGCGCCCGAACTAAAAAGGTAGTGGATGATGATTCTCCACTACCAGGATTTGGTGATTGTGTCCCCTAATCCCCAGTCGCCCTTTAGAAGGGAAAGCATATAAGATATTTTCTCCTTCCTTTATGCCTTCTTGGTGTAACGGTAACACACTTGGCGCGTATTCGAGAGGTCTAGGTTCAAGTCTCGGCTAGGGCATCTCTCATTTTTCGTTTACTCCTGCTTTAAAATAACCAAATGTCTCTACAATATTTCAAACAGTTATCGTGATATCTTTTGTTTAAAACTCAGTTTTAAAATATGCACCGATAGAAATAGCCTGCAATGGAAGAAACTGCAGTCAGATATCTACATGGGTGTAATATCTTGTCGCAAAATCGTAATACAGTTGCTCTATTCTATTACTTTTAAATTGATCGTGACGAAATTGCCGAATTAACAAGTAAAATAGCATATCATTTATCATCATTAGAAACGTATATCATTTATTATCATTAGAAATGCATATTATCATTTATCAATAATTTTATATAATTTTAAACTATAATTCTTTTCTTTCTATAAAACACTTTTTGGTAAAATTTTTTCAGATTGTTGCTCTATTACGTAAGTATTTTGTTTCCTTTTCAAAGTAGAAAAAAATTTTTCACTTTTTAAGAACTTGAAGTATAGTAATTTTCAAATATGTAAGTTTTGTCTTTTCTCTGATTCTAGGCATGGAAGCAGAAGTTCGAGACGGCAAGCTTCTAAAACTTAGAATATCATGCGGGGAACTCAATGACGATGTCGTGGACAAAGACACAAAAGTGGCAACAGTATCGAGTGCACCAGAAAATAAAAAAGTTGTTTGTGGTGAACTTTACGCTATACAAAGCATTGAAGCTAAGAAAGCAGACAAGTTCATTTATGAAGTTGAGGTTTCATGTCAGAAACTGAAACGGCCTTCTAGTGCATCTTCTCTTGGTTAGAAATTTTCGCAACAAAGCCCACGACGCTTGCTTACTCTACAGGAAATTCAAGTAACCAATCACCAACACAATAAATAATATCACACCAACAAAATAAGTAATCGATCATTTTTTGCGTCTTGCTGCAAAAAGCTTTTAAGAATAAAGAAATACTTGAAGAATTCTAGGAAAATAATCACTAATGCAATAAGCAACTTCATGTCTCAAGAAGCTTATGCTATGAAAAGCCACAAGATGTTTATGCCACGAAAAAGGCCACAAAAAACGTACGCCAAGATAAAATAAACAATAGCCAACACGATATATAGCTCTAGATATCAATTGACCATAAGAAGTAACAAGAAATTCTTCTGTCATATTTAGTGTACGAGGGGCAAATAGTTTGATGTAGTGTATGCTTTAAAAGAAGATATGAATGTAAACATGCTTATGTTTATTTTTATTGAACATAATTAAAACTCAATATCATTACCCGGAGCTTAGTTCTTTATGGGTATAAGTAAGTCTTTTACGGGTATAAGTAAGTATGGAATATACTTCGTATCATTTGCAGTTTCTCAAAATCTTTCCCAGCAACAGCGGTTGAAACTCGAAGGTATTACGGTCATAAACCGAATGATGGAGATAGAAATGCGCAGTAAAGAGAAGAATTCTGTCCAATAATTATTGCTTACATTCTGAATAATAAGTACGTAAGCTTAATCAGCGAACCTCTGAATATTAATTGTCCGAGAGAAATAGATATTCAGCCTAATTTCTATGTAGTCCATTTTCCTAATCTTTGGGATTTGAACTCATATAATGTAGTTGTTAGCTGTCAGCGTGATCAGAAGACAAAAAGGATTAGGCTTTTCCCAATGCTGACCATAGAGCTGTGCCTAGGTAATTTTTCAGCAGTAGCAAAAAAGTAAATCCGCGCCCCGTTAAATAATCAAATTTATACTGTTACGAATTTGGTATTTAAAAAGCTAATGTTAGTTCAATTATAAATTAAATGGTTTTATTTCTCGCGCAGTGCAGCGCGTGACGAATATTAAAAGAAAGCTAAGCCGGAAAATTGAAAAATACAAGATGCGCGTGCATTAAATAAATAAATATCTCTTTTTGATTTCGAGAAAGTACTGGAAAATTCTAGCGCGTGATTTTAAAATCTTATAAAAGGAGGAAAACATCTCAGTTCGTAGTAGTTGCTTAGTTTGTTGTTGTTTAGAAAACTGCTCTTTGTTGATTGTAGCGAATTCGCGGATTAGCGTTCTTTAGCTGTTTTGAATTACGTTCTATTGGACATTTGAGTAGTTAAAAGATAACTACTGTGAGATATTGTAATACTGCATGATAATTTGAGAAAATGTTAAGCATTTTTGTTGTGATAATAATAAATTTTTGTTCATTTTTCATCGGACTTGTGCATTCATTTCATAACGAACCCGTACGCACGCAACAATTTTTGGTGTCAGAAGTGGGATTTGAATGCCAATAACAAGAGCGATGGAAGAGCAATTAGACAGCTCATTACTGCTTTTGCTGCTTTCCAAGAAAAGATAAGCTGGCCAAACATCTTTTAAAGAAGAAATGAATTGGGCCAGGAATCCCTCAAAGGAGAAATGAAATTGGGCCAGGAATCCGTTAAGGAAGAGATGAAATCTCTTAAAAATGAGATGAAAGAGGTCAGGACGAAATGAAAAGAGAAATTACCTGCGTAATAGAAAATAAATTTGAGGCTATGGAAGGCTTGAATAGACGCGGTTGAAACTAAAGTTGGACATATAGAAGAGAGAGTTTCTACCGTCGAACAACAAATTGATGATAGGGTTTCTGCTGCCGTTGCCAAAGAAGTTGACAGCCTTAAAGAAGTGCATAGCGACGGTAGGAAACAATTCTGAAGGTTTTAAATTCTTATCCGATGCCTGCTCGTTCCATCTCTGAAGATATCCACATATGATGGGAAGACATCCTGGCAAGTGTATAGAAACACAATTTTCTATCGTTTCGGATGCGAATGGATGGGATTCCCAAACTAAGGCCTGTCCATCTCGCCGCTTCTCTGAGAGCAGACGCAGCGGATATCCTGCAGACGCTTCCAGAAAACCAAAGACTAGATTTCGAAGCTCTATCCGGCGCATTGGAGCTGCGCTTTGGGCGAGAAATGTTTTAAAAGACTACAGCAGGCTTCAATTAAAATCTCGTCAACAGAAGCCCACCGAATCACTTCCAGGAACGTTCGCCACGGATGTTGAAAGGCTGTCCCACCTCGCCTTTACGAATGTGCCCGAGAGAAACGAGGGAAATCCTGTCCCTGCAATACTTTATCGATGGCATCCGGGATCCCGAAATACAGAAAGGCTCTTCGAATGGGAGATGTAAAGGATTTAAAAAGCGCTCTGTTGTACGCCATGAAATTCGAGGCAGCCCAGCAAGCAACTCGGAGAGATCGAGATCGCAGACTCGGAGAACCCAGTCAGAGCTGTGCGAGTCCACGAGCCAGGGGACCAATTGATGGCTCGTTTAGATGATTTATCCAGACAAGTCGATGCTTTGATACGGAGTAGCAGTGAGAACAAAGTGGCTGTAAGATGTTGGAGTGTGGTTCTGAAGGTCACCTACGACGGCATTGCAGAACACCCCAGGGCACGGATAATAAAACGGATGAGTTGACAAGACCAGTGAATGCTTTAAGACGGAATAGTGGTGAAACGAAACCGACCCTAAAGTGCTGGAATTGCGGTGTTGAAGGCCACCTACGAAGGAACTGCAGAACTCCTCAGAGCACGGAAAATAAGGCATACGATTTAAACAAACAATTAAATGCCACGGGAAGGAAAAGGACTGACAAGAAACCAAAGTGCTGGAACTGTGGAGCTGAAGGCCACGTACGAAAGAATTGCAGAACACCCCAGGGTACGAAAATTGAGACAATTTCTGAGCAGCGACGGAGGAAACAAATTAATGACCATATCAAGGAACGGAGGTTGCCAGATAATGAAAAACCCTGTTTTAAAGCGCTTAAGATCTCTATAGTTTGTGGCAACAATAACGGACTGTCCATCAATGGGAATATCGATGGAGTTCCTTGCAATATGATCATTGACACAGGAGCTAATGTTACCATCATTAGGAAAGATTTAGCTGAACAGTTTAAAGATAAACTTATTTGGACGCCATCCTGCGTTACCCTTCAGACTGTGTCTGGTGACAAGATCGACATAACTGGGAAATTAAACGTAAACATCACGTTTGGAAGTGCCGCCTACCATCACACGGCATATGTGGCGGATATTACAGATCCATGCATACTCGGATTGGACTTTTAAGGAAATACAACTTTTCCCTAGATTTCAAAAACAATAAGCTGCTTTCAGCATCTGATGGCATGACTATCCATCCTCAAAAGGGATCCTCGCCTGGAAATGTCGACGCCTTGTCCGAAAGATCGAGCTCGGGAAGCTACCGAAATCATACCAGGGTCGAAAAGAAACTCAAGACTACCAGCTATTCTCCATCCCAGAAGCTCTTCGGTCGAGACCTTCGTCTGCCTTGTGACCGCCTGTTTAGTCGCCCTACGAATGCGCCTTCATCGCCTGAGGAACACATCCAAGTTGCCCAGGCCCGGTTTGAGGGGATGCACCGTTCTGCACGAAAGCGAGTCTACTTGGCGACGGAGAAAATGAAGACCAGATGCGGCACAAGAGCTACTAGACATAGATCCAACAAAGGAGACAAGGTGTGGTTGTGGAACCCGATTCAACGAAAAGGACTGAGTCCTAAATTACAGTCACCTTCGGATGGTCCATATACAGTGTGAACACGAATGACGTCGTGGTTCGGATCCGTGAGTCTTCGAACTCTTACGACAGGTTAGCTTATTACTATGACCATAGTACGTAATGTAAATAATTGTAAATAGTATCAGACCATGGTCCTTTTTGTTTATAAATGTGTATTTAGTATTTGTTTTGTATTTAGTATTTGATAGCATTTGATTTGTTTAAGTTAGTTATTGCATTTATTGTTTATATTGTTTGATATTGTAATGTAATGTTTATGCCTCAGTTGCATTTATGCCAAAGTTGTAAGTTTAGCTTCCTGTCCAGGGATTGTACTGCCCGGGACGTGCAGTCCTTGGGAAGGGGGCAGTGTTACGAATTTGGTATTTAAAAAGCTAATGTTAGTTCAATTATAAATTAAATGGTTTTATTTCTCGCGCAGTGCAGCGCGTGACGAATATTAAAAGAAAGCTAAGCCGGAAAAATTAAAAATACAAGAGCGCGTGCGTTAAATAAATAAATATCTCTTTTTGATTTCGAGAAAGTACTGGAAAATTCTAGCGCGTGATTTTAAAATCTTATAAAAGGAGGAAAATATCTCAGTTTGTAGAGTTGCTTAGTTTGTTGTTGTTTAGAAAACTGCCGTTGTTGATTATAGCGAATTCGCGGATTAGCGTTCTTTAGCTGTTTTGAATTACGTTCTATTGTACATTTAAGTAGTTAAAAGATAACTACTGTGAGATATTGTGATACTGCATGATAATTTGAGAAAATTTAAGCATTTCTGTTGTGATAATAATAAATTTTTGTTCATTTTTCATCGGACTTGTGCATTCATTTCATAACGAACCCGTACGCACGCAACAATACTTTTATTCTCTAAATTTGAAAGAATCGTATTTGATTCTTAAGGAGTGGCATCCGATCTTCCTGTGGTATCAAAATGACCCAACCTCGATGGATCTGCTTTTCACTTCAGTAAAAGGTGGTCTCTTCTCACCTGAAAAAAAGAGCTGATCTCTTTTTATTCGCCTTTCTCGTGACTGAAAGTTACCGCCCGATATTCAGAAGAAATCGCAACCATTAAAAGAAGATACGATAGTTTTGTTTATTATCTGAAGGTGTTATTTTTATGCTTATTTTACATGAGATGAAATTAGTATATTCCAGATTGTAAAAATTGGCATTTTCTTTGTTTACTGGCTGAAGTATAGTTTGAAATTTCTGCTTAACATTATTTCGAAGAAATGATTTACACGAATTTTTAACGTCTAATTATGTGATTTTATGTTATCACACACACACATCTGCTTTAGATTTGATACCTATGTGCACTGCGCAAAAGAAAGGGGGGTCAGTTCTATATCTTTCGCTGTATCGGACCGAAAACGAACGAATTTTGAAGGAAATTCAAATTGTGTTTATCATGTCTCGAAAGCGCGACTTAGAATACGTATTAGATTTATATATAGTACTGTTCTAATACGGGTATTTTGACATAAAATTGGATTTTTTCTGAAAAGACATGTCAGTTTTTTCCATATTTCGATTCTACGCCTCAAATTTTGCCTAAATTTTCTAAAATTTGGTGCGAAATTTATGGAGAAATTTTGAAATTTATATTGCGATATTTTTTCAGTTTGCGTCAAAAATAATTCACTTGGTGAACTTCTTAATTTATAGCAACCTATTTTCCTTTCCTTTTTTTCATTGTAAAGCAGTGGGAAAAAGTCATCGTTCATTATTTGAAATAATTTTAACAAAGTGCGTAAACCATATTTGGCGTTATCATCGCTTATAACAGATGTGCCATTTTTCAAAACGCGCCAATATGTAAATTCACGTATATCCTAGGAAATTTTCAATAAAAAATTATAGATTATAATTCAAATGTTTTCTTCCAAAAATTTATAAAAACGATTTTAAAATAAATTTTTTTAAATAAA